ATATGACACAGGGAAACAACACAGTCTAAGTTTCCAAGCAAAAATATGGTTCTCAAAATTGGCTAAGCCTTTGTTTAACGAGAGTGGATGGAAACCCGGGTTTTTGGAGTCCTCATGTCCAAACTAGGTGTGTGCAGGATAGCTGTCTTGCTCTGATACTTCTGGAATTCAAACCTAACTTTGCCTAACTACATTTGGCATTAAGTGATGATCGCAGTAGCGGTCCTAAGTGAATTAATCTTTTAATAAAAGTTATAAACCTTGGTTGGTTGTCTGCCTTCTTTGGATAAACAAGGCTAACCAAGTAGCATTAGAAGTTCTTGGTTATGGCCCAGGTGATGAAGGCAAGGCAGGCTTTTAGAGCAGGGCTCCCCAATTTCCCATCTGTGGATCAGCACTGGTTTGCGGCATGCCAGAAACCAGGCCACACAAACGAAGCCTCATCCGTAGGATGCAGACAGCACACAAAACCACACCTGTGATGACCCAGGGTGTGGCACAAAAGCAACAAAGTCACAAAAGCAGGTAAAGTCCCTTTAATACCTCCAACTTGGCCCCCAGTGTCCAGTTATCATTGGCTGGAGGAAAAACTCTCCCAAGGACAGTTTTTAAAGGGAAGAAATTTAGTCGGAACCCAAAGTACATATAAATTATAAATAAAAACCAACACAAACCACAAGCTGCAGCAGTTAATGAGACAGGGCAGGATAAGGAATTGCAGAACTCAAAAGATAACGAAACATACAATTGGGAGGACGCCAGAACCCAGATAGGACTTGACAAACAAAGATAATGCACAAGCTTTATTTCCAGCAAGGTTCTGTGCGCAAACCCTCTCTTTATCCTGTTTCCCCAGCTGCAGCTAATGAAGGGAATCAGGGCCTTTTTCTCCCCTGTAAGCCATGTTGCTCCCTTATCTGTTCCTCCCTGCGTGCCCTAGGATGAAGAGGGGGGTGGGCTTGGGTCTTCCTCTGAATCCCCAGCCAGACTGTGCCCTTCTCTAGTTTCCTCCACAGCCACTGGAGCCACACCCCCACTCCCTGTCAGTTGTTTGACCTCCCCCTCGGAATCAGACTCCAGCTGGCATCACACAACTCTCCTGGTCCGTGAAAAAAAAA